GGGGGGGGGGGGGGGCATCAGTTAACGCGTACAGCCGTTTCCTTCAGACGAGAGATTTAACGCACGACACTAACCATTAGTTGTCATGCACAACGTGACATGCCACTGCAACAACGATACGAGCTGTGTGCTACTATGCACACACACAAACCACGGAGCCGCAACTCGCAAGCTTTTTATTCGATCGGCCTCCCTCGCCTCAAAGCTATGATGCAGATGTCCTTACAGGCAACCCCAGCTCACGCTCCACTACTCCTGAAGTGCTGACACAATAGCCGGCCACACGACACAACAGCAGCACCCAATAGCTTCATTTACCGGCATGTTGAACCCAAAAACAAAAAAAAGCAAAACAGGTACATGTACACCAAGATCGTTGATAGTTGTACGAAAACATGGAGGCCAGTCGGCATCCTCCCTGACTACGTGTACCTCATGCTCATGATGCAAAGTCCCGCCAGCAACGTCCGCCTGGCCCCCTGCCTGTCTACGATGTCCTCGGCCTTCATGGCCGTCAGGGTGTACAGGACGTTGGGAAGCACCAGGGCGAAGCCGATTGATCTCGGAGAAGTTGACAGCGTTTGAGCCAGGTGCGGGGCCAGGGTGACCTGAGTTGCGGTAGTAAATAAAGTAGTAATTGAATCTACATATTCCAATAGAAATTCACACAGCCAAGAGTCGCGTTTCACCGAACCTGCTGACCAGTTTATAAGGTGCGGGTGTTTATATTGCTAGCATCGACCGGCGGCCGACCAATGAAAAAACATCAACCTCGGCGCAGATAAAAGCAAAAAAAACTTCTACTAAAGGCCACCTTGTGTGTGTGTGTGTTATCTTGACAGGTTAGGGAAGCACGCTTGCTTGCGACGACAGAGCTTCGGCCATAATTCGCAGCAGTTCTCCACACGAACAACAATACAAACATGTGAGGCAGCCGGACCACTGTACTGTACCTCAAGGAAACCGATGACGGCATAGTTGTACGCCGTCACGAAAGCTCCGGTTAGCACCCCTCGATTTCTCGCCACCTTCCAGAAAGCCAGCGTCCCCCCCGCCGGGTTGATGTCACCGAAGCCCTCCTGGCTTGCCTGTGAGGACGAAGGCAACAAGCAAGGCAAGGGGGGGNGGGGGGGTTAGCAACAACAAACAGCTTACAAAAGCTAGCAGGGGGGGGCGGCGGTAGCAACAGCAAGTAGCTTTCAGAGGCTAGAAAGGGGGGAGGCGTTAGCAACATCAGTCGGTACACGGTTGCGTGGCGACAACAACGAACATTGACGACAACAACAACAACAGCAAGGGCATCAACAAGAACAAACAACAGCACAGCCTACCCAGCACAGCAGCATGTTTTTTTGTTTTGTTTTTGTTTTTCTCCCATCATTGGATTCTGTCGTCTGCCCTTCTGGCTCCTATCCTCCACTTCTACCAGCTAGACGACCCAACCGGGGTCACATAGGAGGGGGGGGTTGGACCCCCTCCTGCGGTTCCTGCCTGAGGTATTTTTATCGCGAGAAGGGTACAGCAATCCCTTCCCTCGCGACTTATGAAGTCGATCAAGTTTACCAACAACGAGATTTGCAGCGCATCGCTTCCAGCGGAGACCAGTATTCAATTAGCGAGAAAAAACTCACTCACTCTGTCGGGACTCGAACCCATGACCTGGCCCTTAGCAGGCTACGAGGCTACCCACTAGACCACCGGGGCGACCGGTGTGTGTGTCCTTGTCGCCGTGGTACCAACAAAAGAAAAAAGAGACAACACTTGAGTGTTTGAACAAAAAAATGAAAGAACCAACACTAGAGTATGTGAACAATGAACACATGCTTTGTTTTTACCACTTACCTTTCCAGAACGCAAGAGATGGCGGACTCTCGGGGTGAAAAGCAGCAAAACCACCGGAAACACCGCCACCACAAAAAATATCGACGACACCCCTCCGTACGGCACCGCCAGGCAGCCCAAGGGCGGCCCGAGAATCTCAGCCACGCCGGACCAAATCTGGAACGCATGTGCGCATCGGGGGGGGGTACTCATAGTCGTGCATGCCGTAGTCGTTTGACCATTGACCTCGCATCCCTACAAAGCCGGGACGGAGCACGCCGGG